ATATCATCTGATTTTGTCTCCACAGAAAATATGAGGAAGCACTTCAAGTGTGAAAGACTCAAATTACCGTATATGTTCTTGGCATTCGGAAGAGTTTGTTACATTGTGAGGCATTGCAAGTGACTAGCCTGGAAGAGCTCATTTGTTGACTAGTTTGACATGTCACACAAACCACTATAAAACTAGATATGTGGGAATCAATAATCTACCATAATAATATCAGCGGCCAGAACACTCATTTAAGCTTATATACAGTGTTTAACAGTCAAGAAGGTTTTAATTTAAAGTCTCAATTTCTAGCACAAGTTGGCCAACCTATTTTCTGACGGAATATTACTCTGTAAGATGACGAATTTGTGGAGATATGTATGACAGGCTTATTTTGTAAACAGTTTCTTCCGTCGTGTTACACTCATAGCGTGACACACGTTGTTACCTACTAACAAATACACTGCTATACACATACCTCTTGTTCTTCACTGCTCGTGATTGTGTTAACTGAACTCTAAATCAACTACCATCTACATTTATAGACTGCAACCAAATTGTACTATATTCTACGTTCGGTTATATCACTGGAAAGACATCAACCTTACTGGAATCTTCAATCATCTATAATTGTGGATTTTGGTACCAAACTCAACTGGAACACGCGCAAACCTGCTGAATTAAGTAACGTCTCCAATTTTTGTTGTGTTTATAACGTTTAACTGATATATATTGATATTACTATTTGTACTTAGTAACTCTGTTGTCATTTTTGAGCTCATATATTATTTGGTCCACCACAATTATCTGGTGAGCCTCGAGTCTATCATAGTTGTTATATTGCTTATACTTTTACTTGACACATAAGTTTATTTTTCACATCATGTACTCGCCAAATAAAAATACTAACGTGAATCCCCCCCCACCAGCAATTCCCCTTAACTCATCGCACACAGACTATAATATTTTAAGTTCAGTTAATGTCATTTCTGAATTCAGACTACCTTCACATGGTGCTAACAACCCTAGGATTTGGATCTCCTAAAAAGAAGCATTATTCATAGCTAGATGCATACGTTCATAGGCAACCAAATAGGCCTACGTTGTCGGCGCACTCATGATCGAAATCGCTACTGAAATCGGAGACCTAATCGACTAAGTGCCAGAGATCGATCCTTACAAAACATTAAAGCAGCTGTAATACAAAGCACATCAGTATCCGACGAAAAAAAGAATTCAGTAACTGTTAACAGCATGCCAACTAAGTAACAAGAGACGATCACAGTTGTTACGGCATATAAAATAACTAGCAGGTCCGTACAAATTAGACGAAACCTTGCATAAAAATGTGCTTTCAACACTTACCATATAATGCGAGACAGATCCTGAATGTGTCTGGGAATTCCGTCAACCTAGAAGATCTAGCAGACATGGCAGACAAAATGATTATTATTATTATTATTATTATTATTATTATTCACAAACATCTTATGGGTACATAAGTGTTGTGAAGAAACCATTTCGGGTTTCTTCAGAAAATGCAATAATACACAATTTTCAATAATGTTAGCATTATACTTGCCATATTTAAAAAAAAAATAATAATAATAATAATAATAATAAAATAAAAAATTGAGAATAATAATAGTAGAATATTAATAATAATAAATGGGCTCTTTGTAATTGAGAAGAATATTGAATTGAGTTTAAAGAAGGAAATGGAGAAAATAAGGGAATAGAAATAAAGGAGACATGAAATACGCAAACAGTCTAATAGGCGTGTTTGTGAACAAAGAACAAGAATAAACGACTATGTGTGTATCGTTAAATTAGTAACAAAAAATAATTAAGAAAAAATAACTTATAATTGCAGTAAGATATGACGCTAGAATATAAATGTTTGTGCAGTCACATAGTTTGGAGTGATGCTATGAAAGTCTCAATTAAATGAAAAAGATAATAAAATATCAATATGTATGAGTAGTCATATATGCATAGTGAAGATAAAACACAAGTTATTGTCTTAATTAAAAACTTCGTAATCTTAAGAGCAATAATTATTTAGAGGGAAAGAAGAGAGAAAAGAAGTGAACACCTAGTGAAAAGTTTCATCCATGATAAGAATAATAATTGTGTAATGAATATCAACCTCAGAAGGAAACCAACGATTTAGAAAAATAAAATAAAAATCCGTTAAAGCACTCGTATGAATACACTTAGATTTATGTAATAGTACACAGAGTGAAACCGGATATTAGTTTAAATATTTGTTCAATAATAATTAAGATTGATGCTATGAAAGTCAAAATTGATTTCAAAGGACAATCTGGAGTTAAATATGTTTAGAAGGGTAAGAAGATACAAAAAGAATATCTAATGTGTCGGGGAACTAATAATGATATTAATAACGGTAATAATGATAAACACGAACATAATCAGACTTCATATATTAAGATAAAGAGAAATAAAACAAAATAGACGTGAAAGGATTTAAAGGTTTTATTTTGCTTTTCAAGCAATTAAATAAATGACGGACCTTGTTTGTATAAATCATTATTGAATACATTGATATTCAATAGATGACATAATCCACTTTCGGAAAGAAAATCGTCAAGGAGACTTTTGAACCGGGTTGTAGTTTTACTGCAACGGAGGTTCACTGGCAGTCTGTTCCACATGGTTGAGTAGCGAATAAGGAAAAAATTCTGACGTAAGTTTGTGTGGGTTCTTGGAATCGCTAGAATATTCTCCTTATTGCGTAGATTGTGGGATGATATTATAAGGTATGAAGGGGTAGATACCGATGAGTAGGAAATACCGTTAATGAGCCGGTAGATAAAGACAAGATTTAATTTGATACGTCTGATCCAAAGAGGTTCTAAGTTGAGTTGTTGACATCTTTGGTAATAGTCTTTGTTATTGGAATACCCCAGAACAGCTTTGGTGAACTTTCTTTGAACACCTTCAATTCTAATCAGATCATTATGTCTACAATTACTGTAAACTAAAATACCATATTCAAGAATGGGCAAGACACATTTTCTGTATAGTAACAATCTCGATTCGATATTATTGAAGTTTATCATTATCAATCCGATGAGCTTTCTAGCTTTGGATACTTGAGATATAATGTGTTCAGAAAAGTTCAGACTATTGCTATATCTTAAACCCAGGTCACGAACGGTGTTGAAAGGTTTGAGTGTATGTGTCTGTACAGTCAGATTTAAGTTAAGACAGCGACCAATGTGAATAAATCCGCTTTTGTCAACATTAAGTGGCATATTCCACGAAATAGTCCATTCGTACAACTTGTTTATTTCCTCCTGGATTACCGCAGAAATATAGCTTTCTTTCGTGGGAGAAGAGAATGAATAAACTACTTTCAGATCATCAGCAAAAAGGAAAGGCTTACCATACTGAAAGAGGGGACACACATCATTGATAAAAAGGAGAAAGAGCAATGGACCAACCACACTTCCTTGTATAACCCCACTTGTTACATTTACAGGTTTAGAGTAGCAAGATCCAAAGCGAACGATTTGGCTACGTTCTTCTAAAAAAGATTTGAGCCAAGATAAAAGGGGATTCTGTATGCCGAATGAAGAGAGTTTTAAAAGAAGAAGTTTGTGTGAGACACTGTCGAAAGCTTTACTAAAATCGAAGTAAAGAATTATCACTGACTGACCAACATCTCTTCTCTGGGTAATTTGATCAAAAAACTCCAGGTGCGATGTGAAACATGAGCGTTTAGTCATAAACCCGTGTTGGGATGGGCTGATCAGACTAGCTGAAAGTAAAAATGATAGTAGCTGTTTGTGGATGATTTTTTCCATGGTTCTTGACAGCACGGATGTCAAATTAATTGGCCTATAGTTAATAATATCACTACGTGGTCCTGTTTTGAATCTAGGGGTGATAAGGGATGTTTTCCATGCAGATGGATAGGTCCCATATTCCATAGACAGATTGAAAAGTTTCAAACAAAATAGTGGAAATTCTTTACTTCCATATTTCACAAATGATGTAGGTATCCCGTCAGGTCCACCATCATAAGACTTTTTCAGGGTAGTTATGGCCTGCTTGATGTTGGAGGGTGTGAAATCAATTTTCGACAGATGTCTGGATGTTAGCATTGGAAATGAAATGATGGAGCTTTCAGTTCTAGTCTTGTAGCACTGCGAGAAGTGCTTGCTGAATTGTTCGCATATAGTATTCGGGTCGTTAACAATGCTTCCGTGAACTATGAAGAATTTGGTCGTGCCAAGGGAATTTGACTTTACACGGGATTTAAAAAGTCGAAGTATTGATAATTCTGGGCTTTTAATACGTAGAGCTTTATTTTCTATATTCATGAAATACTTATGTTTAGATGAAGCATTTCTGTCGATTAATTTAAATATACTCTGAAGTGCATACACATCATTCTGCTCATAGTAGCGGTATTTTAATTTCCTCAGCTTTCTTTTAAAAGTATTTTGGCCCCTATTAGCATTATAAGCCACACGGCCAATAACTGGAGCAGTGCAGTCAAGACAATATATCAGGTTGTGATATAGGTTGGAAAGCGCAATGTCAACATTATTTGTGGTAAAATAAGTTTTCCATGGTAAACATCGAATGAGAGTTTCAGTCCGTTTCCATGTTTGTTGATCAAAATATCTGCTCTGGTACGTCGTTGAAGTTTTAGAGTTCAATTGTATGGCGTTTAAAGAGTGAATAATACTCAATACAACTCTGTGGTCACTCATAAAAAACTCATGACTGGTATGCACTGAGATAGAGTCTATGTTGATTGTGAACATTAAATCAAGTGTATTATTCCCCCTGGTTGGTTTTCGGACCTGTTGAACCCATCCACAAATTTCTAATGTTTCAACTAGCTTGTTATATCGACCTGGCACCGGAGTCAAGCCCCATGTAATTTTTGGCAGATTAAAATCACCTCCGATGATTTTAAAAGTATGAGGTTGATGCGAAGCAATGGAAAATATGTTTGTTAGTAATCTGTCAAACTTAGTATCCGCATGAGGTGGTCTGTATATGCATCCCACCAGTAAATAATTTTGGGATCCACAGTTTACAGTAACCCAAGTGGAGTCTTCTATAGCATCAAGGGATTTGTCCTCAAATTTGCACGCTTGAATGTCTGAACGAACATAGATAATTGTACCGCCTCCTATTCCATAACATCTATCGGTTCTAAAGAAAACGTAGTTATCTACATTCAAGGAATGATCGGATATAGATGAATTACACCACGTTTCCGTAATAAGTACAATGGTTGGATTTACAAGGAATAAAAGAGTTTTAAGATGAATAATTTTATTAGACAGAGAGCGGGCATTGAACGAAAGAATAAGAAACTCAGAGTCATCATAGTGAAGCAGGTTGGAGTATAAATCGCAATTGGTAGTTCCATGAATACTCATAGGATTAGCTAAGGTGAGAGTTGTGTTGCGAGGGGAAATAGATTCAACCACTTTGTTATCATGTGAAATATGTTTACCGTTGCCGGCAGGAAAGCCGGCGGAATTACAAAAAAAGTTTTCTCATTGCTGTTGGATCTAACATCTGATAAGGGCATAGTGTACATATTGGGAGCCGGACCAAGAAGGCTATCAGGTCTATGGTTTTGACCAAGTGGCCAATTACAATTCAGATAACTATTTATACCTGACGTATGGGTAACGTGTTTAAGACGTTTATTTCCAAGGGTTGTGGTTGATTTCGCCTTCTTCATATGTTGGAGGGGATTGTGTACTGTTAAACATACTTGCGATGGTTTGCGAGGTTCGAATATATCAACGTTAAGTGCGTGGTCAGTTATATGGATGTTATGATTAGTTTTCCTGTTATCCGTTGCACAGTTACTGTAACTGGGTGTTGCACTAACAGGGGTTTGGGTTGTGTTATCCCATTCTTTATCAGCACAACTACTTCGGGTTGAATCTAAGTCAACATTCTCAAGAGGATGGACACCACCTACATCGGGATTACTTTCTTCTGGGTTTTGAACTTCAGGAGATTCAGAAGAGTTTTTCGGTGACGGCAAAATTGTTAAGCTAGACGTCCCCTTAGAATCGGACTTAACTTTACGACCATTAGGATTACGATGCGTTTGAGAGTTTGACGCTGGTGGTCGGTAGTTATCTCTTCCTGCTTTTCGCTGGCATGGTGTTTTATCCGGAAGAGTCTTAATATCCTTGAAAATCTGTTTTTGTCTCAATGAATTGGAGGAATTTAAAAATTCACTGGCGTCTACAGATGAGTTGAATTTGAACAAGATCGGTGAGTGCATACCAGGATGACTTCTTTTTAATCTTGTGCATACACATGGTACGTGTGTCATATTGCTGGCTCTAAGCAGACTAGATTTGATATTTTTAAGGGCATGTGTATCCGGTATATTAAACACAATTGCATTACTAGATCGTCTTATTCTTTCAAATACTTCTGATGCAACACGATCTAGGAAAATATTTATGTCATTCATTTGATCTGGAGTCTCTGTGAGGTTGGGGTTGATGAGATATTTAAGCGGGTTGAGAATGTTCATGTCTACTTGCAACTTTTTTATAGCATCCATATGGTTGCAGTTGCGATTATCATCACTGTTTACCATCAGAGTTTTCAACATGTCTGGAATGGAGACAACTGGTAAAAGCTTGTCTGCTTCCAGATGAACGGAGTGGCTCGTCTCGTTGAAACTGTTGGAAATCGTGTCAGTAGTGGTGTTAAATTGTGTCGTTTTCCTACGTTTGGCTGGACGCCTAGAAGCAGGGGTCTTCATTTTCTTTTGTGGCATGATAAGAAAGTGACGTGTAGCAAGTGGATTGAACAGAATGTTGGAAATAGAAAGGGGTGAAAAAAATCAATTCCGAGGGCTCAAGTTAGTCTAAAAATCAAAATCTATGTTTTAACCAAGGGTCAATGTATCGTGAGGATTAGTGGTGTTAAAAACAGATGACAATGGCAGGAAGATAGTAGTGGAGATGATGTATTTATGTCAGTATCTGTGTGGAGGCAAGATAGAATATAAAGGAGCAAGTTGTATAAATTTTAACACATATGACATGAAAGATAGCCTTATATGGTAAAGTAATTTAGAAATGTCAATAATTAGTAACAAACAATCAAAAAAGTACGGTACGTGATACATATATAAACTGAAAGTCCGTATTAGTGAAAATTGGGAGGTGCAGAGACAAGTAGTTTAGAAGATTATTACCGTCTAAGATTATTATGTTGCTTCTTGAACAAATATATGAAACAGCTTTTTTGAAAAAAAAATACTGTCAAAAAAAAACTATGACAGACTTACCGAGTTGGACAGGTAGCTTCGAAAATTAAATGATTTATAGTATCCAAATACGATTTAAATGATAGTTCATAAAATAGTGAATACAGTCCTTTAACATACACGGTTATATATATTTCTTGATATTAGGTAGAGGTTTGAATAGATCCTGTAGATACATAAAGTACGTGGGTTAAAGTATTCAAATACGATATAACCATATATTCATTAAGAAATAGAATACAGATATGAAATACAACTCTTCGTCAAATATGATTATATATGGTTTCAAAGTGCCAGAGTATAGTTTGATCGTATAGTCAAAATGAATATATGTAATTAGATTATTATAAATTATTGTATGAATATGGTCATAAATACCGTAAGTTAAACTCAGAACTTATCATATGGCATGAAATTCACAGTTTATATGTTAATATTCAAGAATAGAGTTAACTTCTATAATTCCAAGAAAAAATAATTCATCCAGCTCTGCGAGAATCCTAGAAAAATAAAACTAAAAACCTCGGCCTGAAAGTAACGTCCAGTCCGTAGCGCGCGCAAGATATATACCCCGATAGTCACGTAGATAATTCGATACAAGCTTCCAGTAAAGAACATATGAGTCACACGTTCAAATTCCAGAAACAGCTAACACAGTTAACAAGACAGTTAGCATCACTGAAGGCAACTATAGCAACTATTCATTCCCGACCCGCTAGATCCACGTCCAGAAAAAGATCTGTGTCCAGACAGCGCCTTAGGCCACACAAGCGGGCAGCTGGTATTAGCTGTTATCATCTGAAGTATGGTGAGAGAGCACGTCGCTGCATACAACCGTGCAACTTTACAACAAACAAGCAAGAAAACCAGGGAAACGGGCCGGTCAGACAGTAATGGAGTCGTCTGTTACTAGCCAACACGCTAGCTGCCTTTTTCATATCAGGGACTGTATTTCTGGCTCAGACTTTTTAGTCGACACAGGAGCAGAAACCAGCATCGTCCCATTTCACCTCTCACGACGACAACTGTCTCTTATCGCGGCTAACGACTCGGTCATCAGAACTTATAGTGAACAGTCCCATACATTAGATATCAGACTCCGGAGAAGATTTACCTGGGTTTTATAGTCGCTCAAGTCAAGCAACCTATTCTCGGGGCCTATTTTCTCAGCGCCTACAGTTGACAAAAGGACAGCAGCCCTAGATAACGGTCTGTCTGTCGACGTGATATTCATAGATTTTAGCAAAGCGTTTGACAAGGTTTCACACGTAGGTCTTATGCAGAAGCTCACGAGCTTCGGAATATCAGGTACTGTACATGAGTGGATAGGAAATTTCTTATGTGACCGCGGACAGAGAGTTAGGGTCAACGGAACGCTATCCGATTGGAAGCCGGTCAAAAGTGGTGTACCCCAAGGCACCATCTTAGGCCCTCTGCTCTTCCTTCTCTACGTTAATGAGTTACCGCTGTTACTTAGGTCGTCGACATTATTGTTTGCGGATGATGTAAAAATCTGGAGAACAATAAAAAGTGCGGCTGATCATGTGGATCTTCAAGCTGACTTAGACGATTTAGTTAGATGGGCTCGAGAGTGGGTCTTAGAAATCAATGCCAGGAAGAGTGTACTAATGCACGTCGGTCACGGTAATAGTTACGGTTACACTATTGAGGGTAAACCTCTTCCATGCGTTCAAGAGCATAAAGACTTAGGAGTAGTAGTAAGTCATGATTTAAAAACAACTACGCATTGCAAAGCAGCCGTTGTCAAAGGTTTTCGTGCGTTATGGTCACTTCGCCGAGCGTTCAAATCTTTTGACGAGGAAACGTTTCGAATTTTATATCCCACCTATGTAAGACCACACTTAGAGTACTGTATCAAAGCAGCTAGCCCATGTCTGGTAAAGGATACTAACTCCCTTGAGCGTGTCCAGCGAGTGGGAACGAAATTAGTGAAGGGTCTTTCTAAACTCCCTGACAATGAGCGTTTAAAACGCCTAAAACTTTTCACCTTATCGTATCGTAGGACGCGAGGTGAGCTTATCCTGGCATTTCGTATCTTTAATTATGATTTGGGTGTTAATATGTCCCATCTTTTTGCTCCCTCCACCACTAATAATCTCCACGGTCATAGCAAGAAGGTTCACAAACCGCGACCTAATAAACTCAAAGTGGGGTTCCGTTTTTCTCATTGAGTAGTCAATGACTGGAACGCTTTACCCGAACAAGTGGTATCAGCCCCACCAGAGAATACTTTCAAGGAGAAGCTGGGCCTTCACTGGAAAGCAGTGCGTCAGGATTAACACAGGTTCATCAACCTACTATCCTTATTACTGAAGACTGAAGAATGTAGACTGAATCAGAATACACGTTTGCAGGTAAATGGTACACCTACCACTGATTACCAAATTGATGGTAGTAAAACCAGCGGACGGTCTTTTCATTGATATCCTAACGAAATACGAATGTATCACTAAAGTGGATTACCAAAAGGAATGAACGGTGCATCAAGTGCATCACCACATCACCACTACAGGTTCACCCATCTATTTCAAGTCGAGCAGAATACCACCACAAAAATTGCAGACTTCGAAAAGAGGGTTTGAACATATTATGCAATTTGGAATCATTAGACAATGCAAAAGCCCTTATGTATTTGCACTCAACAAAATTGATGTATGGTGATGAGTTCCAATCAACTGATTGTTCAACGATGATCCGTAGTGTTGCGGTTTGATCAGTGTACTACCGATACTTACGTAGTCTGGCCTGTTGATCTGGAAGTGAGGCCTCTACTACATCTTTCATCCAGCTCTGCGACACTCTGTTGAACACTTTTTCCGTTACTAATAATAATGTGATGCCAATGAAGTTTTCACATTTGCTCGGACCTCCTTTTTTGGTATATTGTTGAGGTATAATACTTTCCAGTCTGTCGACACTTTTTCCTCCCGAATCCTCCTGAATAGAACGTGGAGCACGTTTGTATTTGTTTATATGTCCTTATGTGTCCGAAAGAAATGGGTACAGCCTCTTCTTCTACCGTGGTCATAATGTCTCACAATATATTTTCTTCAAACGTTTCTTCCTTTACAAACATCTACTTCCCCTCCCATCTTCGCCTAAACCCTATACTCCCAACTGGTTTATTTCTGTTTCCATGATCCTCCTGATTATAATTCATCTCAATTTCGACACTTCATCTTATCATGCTGACCCTTTCCTTTCCAATGATAATTTTTATCTATCTTTATGATAAATGTTCAAGCTCTTAATAATAAAAATAATAATAGTCAACCTGATTGAAACTTTTCCGTTACATTTGTTCATTTTACCCCACTGTCTTATTGTTTAACAGAAGTTTATTATCATTATTATTGTGATTATTATCATTTCGAAGAATAAGGATATATATATTTGCGATTGTGCAGCTTTTAAAATAAATTCGCCAAAAAGATAACTCTTCACTGAACCAACCTTTCTTATTTAACTCCTATGTATAACTCCAGTGCTTCGGCTGGTATATTGTCAGGAACTGTTGCTTTCTCACTTATGATTTGTCTGATGGCCTTGAAGAATTATGGTCTGCTTCGTTATTAGTAATATTGTAATCACAAACCTAATCCTAAAATTGTAGATATATCATGGTGTGAAAACCTTATCTATAAGATCCTAGATGAAAGTCACGTCATTGTCTATTCTGACTTGTATCGCAACAATCCACGACATAACGTTCGGCGTTTGTAAAGGACACATGTTGGCTAGAGATAAAGTAATATATTGGTGTGAGTAAAAACAAGTTATACAGAACGATCACGTCTGAGAGGCTGAGCCATGCCATCCGACTTATTGAATGAATATTACCGCGTTCACCATTGTTCGCCTTTTCTCCGTGTTGATTGTTGAATATCCATTTTCCCAGTTATCCTATGTTCAGCCTTGAGGATTGTGTGGTTAGGGCTAATACCACTACAGCCCTGTTGATTTAGTAGATTGTTGGCAGAGTGAAATTAATAGGAAGGTCCATAGTGGTAACGGTTCATAACCATACGATCTTTGAAGCTGAACAATTAATTACTGAGAAAATTTACACTCAACATTAACAACAAAAGTCAAAAACGGTAACAACGAGAGCACCTAATCGAGACGGTATGGCCCGGCCATGCATGTTTGGTCGCGATTAGGCGAATTTCTTTTCATATTAAACATATCACTGCCTTTCTAGCCTGAGTGTGTTCTTTAGAAGTCCTTGACATCAAACACTGACGATGCTGCTCTAATGTCCGGTGGGTTTGTAAGATTATGATTCACTCAAGAGCTCTTTAAGGCGTCGCACCCATTATTACACAGCTCTCAAAACTCAGTGATTGGATTGGCCTTTTAATCATTCTAACCCTTAAATCTTGTTTTACATTATTTGATTAGATGTCTGTCCTTATCATCTCTAAACCATATATTATCTGACCAGTATCATATAGCTTGTGCCATTAGCTAATGTCATAATAAATGGGAATCTAAACCACAGGACAAAGGCCTTAACTGTGCGATTTGCTGGTAAAGTTAGTGTATTCCAACAAGGTGTGCAACGTAGATCTTAAATTGAAGCAGTAGTCATACATATTGCAAACGGAAGAGAACCTAACATCACGAAAGGGAGGGAGAGTGGCGTTGCTAACCGGCAAGCATGATTGTGGGAAGATAACCCCAACCCACCCGTATCTGTAAGGTAGAACACTTGGTTTAATTACGGCTCCTTACGGGACGTAACTTTTCAGTGGTATTTATGCTAATTACTTTGCCGAACACCTCTTTAACACATATTTATAACCTTTAGTTGGTTTCAATTCCTAGCAAGCAAGACTGGATAATGAAGAATGATATGAGTTCACTTATGCCTCCACGAATGTTATGACAATAAATGTGAGTTTCAATAACTTTGGCGAAAAAACCAGTCGGTATTCGACCATTATTTTCTTACTAAATTTTTAAAATACATACTCCCAAGCTTTAATCTTCTTTGAACCACTTCTATTTGTACATCAGTCTATTCATTCAAAGCCATGCTGTGGCTTGTTTTTTTTAACCTGAAGTTTACATGCTAAGAACTTGATCTAACGAGAGAGATTTGGTCTAAGTAATCATATCCCGATTGCTCAATTATAGATGACTACATTTCACTAGTCATCAACACTGTAGATCCTGCTTCTCACCCTTCACTTGTTTCTCTTTTTCGGAACTCTCATGTTATACAAGCGCAAACATTTTTGGAACATGTGACTTCGTCCCGCGCCATCATTCGTGCCTCCGGAATTTATCTGGGATCTCTATCGAGAAACACAAACTAATATTTTCAAGTTGACGTCTCCGGCTGACTGTTTTGGACTTTAATTCCCGACCATCTATTGCTTATCGCAACGCGACCACCAAAAAGCGCGTCAGCTCTCATATTGAACTCTAAAATCCTACAAACATTAATATTCTTATGTATGAAAATTTATCACGTGTTTATATCCCTCATGTGCCCTATAAAATATCAACATAATTGAGT